ACAGGGCCAACCACCTGGGTTTTCAGCAGGTAAATTGCAAAGCAAAGAGAAAACAATGGAGGGAGAACAACAGATCAAAGGAGACTTAAAGAAACAGCAAACAGTTGCAATGGGCAGACCTTATTTGGATCCTGATTTAAAGCAACTGCAAATAATTACACTCAGCATTTATAAGATATTTGAACACTGACTGGATTTTGATGGTGTTGAAGAATTGTGGATTGCGTTTTGTTTGTCACTACATGTGATAATATTGTGTTTTGTTAGATAAAAGGAAAGCCTTTAAGAACACATATTTTAGTATCTGATTTATATTCCATTATTTATAGCATTCAGCGGAGCTAGATTCTCTGGCCCGTGAGCGAGAGAGAGCTGAGTGCCTTTGGGCAGGGGCTTACTGGCAGAGTAGGGTGCCTGTGGGCACTTGTTGGTGGAGCCAGTGAGTTTTGTAACACTTGAAGGCACAAGGCAAAGGCTGGGCTAAGGGGCTGAGGGCCAGAGAGAGGCCTGCCTGCCAGTATGGCTGAGAAGAAGCTGTCTTGATCAAAGAACTGTATCCTGAGCACTCCCGATCCTGAGTTGGAATCTTTTTTTCCCTAAAAAATTCCATAATGTGAATCCTGTCTGCGAGTTCTGTGTGGCCATTACAATGACTGATCAAAGCCAGCAGAGAAGTAGAGAGTGCCATGGGAGGGCGGCTGGTGTGAGGATCGGTAAAAAGACTGGAGGGTGGAGAGAGGTTTGAGCTCCACCTCAGAGAAAACATGATCTTGATTCTCTCTCCTGCTCCTTGTGAGGACAGATGAGGAGGTCTGATGACGCCCCCATCCTACCATTTTTACAGTCACCATTTGGCAACCACCATCCTACCCATCATTCCAGGCGAGAAACCAGCAGATGCTAAACCTAGAGGGTTAGCAGAGTATTTATCTAGTCTCAGAAATATGTTCTCACAGACACTGATCAAACAAACTAACGAAAACAGCCAAACCCACTGCCACTGAGTCGATTCTGACTCATATTGACCCCCACTGGGTTTCCAAGACTGTAAATCTTTAAGGAAGTAGATTGCCTCATCTTCCTTCCGTGAAGCAGCTGGTGGGTTTGAACCACCAACGTTCTGGTTAGGGGTCAAATACCTTAAGCACTGCACCACCAGAGCTCCTTATTGATTAGAAAGAGAATAATAGTAACTAACAGTGGAGACCCTGGTCACAAAAAAACAGACTCATTCCCATCAGGTCGACTCAGAGTCGCGGCAACGCCATGTGTTACAGAGGAGAAGTGCTCCATACACTTTTGTTGGCTTTCATCTTTACAAAAGCAGATTGCCAAGCCTTCCTTCCACAGCACTGCTCGGCGCTGTGATCTGCCAAAGGTCTGCTTAGGAGCTGGGAGCCTGCACTGCCCAGGGACCTTGGCGACTCTGGCAGACACCACCTGAACCAAGTGATCAAAGTTATATCACCAGTGAGGAAGAACCGACATCATGTGCCTCCTGATAGGATGCACTGAGAAGGATGCTACATCACTTCTAAGATGTTCTTGCCAAGGACACGTAACCCAAATCGAACCACGGGGAAAACTCAGACAAACCCACAGTGAAGGACATTCTTCAGAACAGTTGGCTTGTATTCTTAAAAAGAGGTCAAGGTAAGGAAAGACCAAGAAAGACCAAGGAGCTATTCCAAATTGAAGTGGACTAAAGAAACAGAAAGGAGTCTGGTGGCGTAGTGGATCAGGCACCTGGCTGCTAACCAGAAGGGCGGTGGTTCAAACCCACCAGCCGCTCCATGCAAGGAAGATGGGGTGATCTACTTGCATAAAGATTTACAGCCTTGGAAACCCAATGGGGGTCGCTATGAGTTGGAAATGACTTGATGGCAGTGAGTTAAAGAGACAGAAGGAGCTCTGGTGGCACAGTGGTTAAAGCACTCAATTGCTGACCAAGAGGTTCACAGTTGGAACCCACCAGCCACTTGGTGGGAGAAAGATGTGGCAGTCTGCTTCTATAAAGATTTACAGCCTTTATGGTACATATAGGGAGCTCTGGTAGCATAGTGCCCAAGGCACTTGACTGCTAACCAGAAGGCTGGTGGTTCAAACCCACCAGCCACTCCTCGGAAGGATGGTCAGAGAATCTACTTCCATAGTGATACTGCCTCGGAAACCCAAAGAAGGGTTGCTATGAGTCGGGTCCGACTCAACGGCACGTAACAACAACAACAACATAGTACATACACACAACGGAATACTATATGCAACAGTAAAGAAAAACGTAGAATCTATGAAACACCACATAACGTGGATGAACTTGGAGGACATTATGCTGAGTGAAACAGTTAATCACAGAAGGACAAATATTGTATTAGTTCACTTTGTGCAAAGTCAAGGAAACGTTTATATATGGAAAGAAACTTCCTTTGTTGGTTGCCAGGGGTGGAGGGGAGGGGAGGGACCACTGCTAGATAGGTAGAGACAAGTATTGATTTGGGTGAAGAGAAAGGCAGTGTACCAAAAGTGAGTGACCAACACAATAACACTGAGGAAAAGGAAGACACAGAGAGGTGCACAAAAGGTACAGACAAAGATAAACGCTTTCACATATACAATACTGTGTTATCAGTGATAACAAACATTAACCTACGGGTAAACAGATGGGTAGACAGGCTGAATGAACAGGTACATCTAGGCAAAAGGGAAATATACCCATGACCATATGTAACATTGGCAGATGATATTTCTACACACGTATTTGTACGTGCTGTAAGAATGTCCACATAACTAGAACTAACGGGGAAAAATTATAACTTCTTAGGGACATTCAACCACCTGATGGAGGACGTTGTTGGCCCTGTGGGCTCAGGACCATGGTCTCAGGGGACATCAAGCTCAACTGGCATAACACACTACACAAAAACGTTGTTCTACATTCTACTTTGGTGAGTAGTTACTTAATGCCGCTGAGTTGGAACTGACTCATAGCGACCCTTCCTTGGGTTTCCGAGGAAGTATCTCTACGGAAGTAGATTGTCCAACCTTCCTTCCAAGAAGTGGCTGGTGGGTTTGCACCATCCGCCTTCTGGTTACCAGTCAAATGCCTTAGGCACTACACCACCAGAGCTTCTTGGTGAGTAGTTACTGGGGTCTTAAAAGCTTGCAAGCAGCCATCTAGATGCAACAATGGGTCTCTCCTCATCCAGAGCAAAGAAGAATGAAGAAAACCAAAGACACATGGAAACAATTAGTTCAAGGGATTAGTGGACTGTGCCAACTTCAGCCTATATGATATGACCACGAGACCAGAAGAACTAGGTGGTGCCTTGCTACTACCGACAACCACTGGATCAGTGCAGGAGATCCTGGATAGAGTGAGAAAACAATGTGGAACAAAACTCAGAGTCATAAAAAGGATGAGGTTTACTTGTCTGATAGAGTCTGGTGAGACCCCCAAGACTATGGCCCCTAGTGACCCTTCAGGTCTGGAACTGAACTCACTCCCATGGCTTCCAGCCAAACAACAGACAGAAATATAGGGTGAATATTTACATTAGGTAGATACGCTCCTTAGCACGATCAATCATGGGTGATCAGAAGGGCAGTATTTGCACAGGGAGATAGTTCAGGGGGCAGGAATGGATAGGAAAGAAGGACACTGGGAAGAGGTGACTACAGGGAGGAAGTGGGAAGAGAGTTGTTACATTGTGAGGAATTGCAGTCAATGCCATGAGATGTGTATGAACTGCTGCATAGAAAATGAATTTGCTCTGTAAAGTTTCACCCAAATCACAATATAAACAAACAAACAAACAAACAAATAAAAAGCATATCTATATGTAATCTCTGATGCTGAGTTGGATACTTGGCAGGAAACACAATTTCTTCAATAAGTAAAAATTGATGAGATAGCAGCATTGTATCAACAGTGATCTCCTTATTTGCATAATTGCTCTGTGGTTGTGTAAGAGAATGAACTTGGTCTCAGGTGCTATGTAGGGAGTTATTTAGAGGTTAAGTGGAATCATGATGAAGCAAATGTGGTAAAAAGTTAATATTCAGGCAATCTGGGTGGAGGATTCTATGCACTACTCTTGCAACTTCTCTATAAACCTGAAATTATTTCAAAATAAAAAATGAACTAAATGCTGATGGAAAAGTTCCAGCAGTAATAATGGGGAAAACAACAACAACAACAACAACAAAACCACTGCCATCGAGTTGATTCTGACTCATAGCAACCCCCATTGGGTTTCCAAGGCTGTAAATCTTTATGGAAGTAGATTGCTTCATATTCCTTCTGTGGAACAGTTGGTGGGTTTGAACCACCAACCTTCTGGTTAGCAGTCAAATGCCTTATCCACTATGCCACTAGAGCTCCTTGGCAATAATCATAGTAGCTAACATCTCTTGAGCATGAGCTATCTTCCAGGCAGTGTCCACACACTGTCCATCCGCACAACAGCTCTGTGAAGTAGCTGATGTTATTATCCTGCCTCCGTTTCACAGAGGAGGAACTTGAGGATCAGAGAAGATGAGAGACTTGCCCAGAGTCGTGTAGGGAGAGACGGCAGGGCTGAGATGGAGGAGTTGACACAGGAGATGAACGTGTTCCTGGATAAACCTGGTTCTTGCACATCTCTCCCAATAGCGTCGTTATTTAGACCTGCAGTGGCCTGGCTAATGACTGCCTCCTTCAGACTATAATCCCCACGAAGAGGAGGGTTATCTCTGTCACTGCTGTGTCCATGGTGAGAGAAGAAACCCAATGAGTATTTAATGATTGAATAACTGGTTCTTATTCATGATACATTACAGCTCTTAATAATGGTCACAGTAACAACAGTTCTCATTGGTCCTCAATCCTCAAAGCGCTGTTTCATCCCTATCTTACAAACAGGGAAACAGGCTCAGAGAGATGTCACCTGCCAAGGCAGACAGCCAGGAAGAGCACGGCTGGCATTCAACATCATACCTGGGTCCCAGGCCCACTCAGAGCTCACCTTCTGGAAGTCTTTTTTGGAGATGAGACCACGGGGATCGGTGACATAATCCCGGAAGGCCTCAGAGCCCATGATGTCCTTGAGTTTCAGGAACATGTCAAAGAACTTGAGTATCATTTCCACATTGGACGAGGATTCTACGAGCATGTCCACCATCTGCCGGGCAATTGTGCCGTTCACCACGTTCCCTGTGGGTAGCCCTTCATCAGTGTAGTGCCCAAGTGCCTCCTTTCTGGAGCCCACCAGGCTTGCCTCCCTCCCCACCTCAGAAGCCATCCGTGGCTCCCCAGGATCCACCATGCTGGTGGAAGCTCCTGACCAGCTCCCAAACCTCCCCTCAAAAGGCCAGCGTCATTTTCTGCTTTACTCCAGCATCACGTGTGGACCAGGCTGAGCCTGCCTCTGCCCACCTCGCCTCCAGTTGGGGGAAAATCATCAGTGAGAATAACAGTGACTAAGCTCAGGGGGGTGTCAGGTGCCACGACAAGTGCTGCCCTGCCACAATCTCACGACAACCTCATGAGGGACACGTGTAACTATCCCCTTTTATAGGTGAGGAAACAGGCTCAGAGGAAGTTACACAGTCAAGGTGACATAGCCAGTAATGGTGTGGAAGGTCTGAGTCCAGGGCCACATGATGGTAGCCTAAGCCCTTCACTAATCCACCAAGGCCAGGCAGGTACATGGAAGAGCAAGGTAAGTCAAAGGTTAGACAGTGGGGGAGGGTAGAGACTCTGGTAAACTGGGATAACACATCCCCTGTAAAAGGGATGGCTGAAGCTGGGCTCCACCTATATTTATACCTCTTCATTTTAATAAAATTTCATATTTATATAAAAGTTGCAGGAATAGAGCAAGGAAGCATCATCTATTCTAGATTCACCTATTGTTTACATTTTACCCCTTTCGCTTTAGAATTCTCTCTCTCTCTTTATGTTTGGGAGCTCTGGTGGAGTAATGCCTAAGGCATTTGACGGCTAACCAGAAGACTGGTGGTTCAAACCCACCAGCCACTCCTCGGAAGGAAGGTTGGGCAACCTATTTCTGTATGTGTGTGAATGTGTGCTTATATATCTATAGGTATATCTATACCAGGTGGTGGAATGGGTAAGGCATTTGGCTGCTAACCAGAAGGTTGGAGGTTCAAACCCACTAGCTGCTCTGCGGGAGCAACATGAAGAAATCTATTTCCATATCCCATGGGGTCTCTATGAATCAGAATAGACTTGTTGGCAGTTTTGACTTTATATATAAACACACACACACACACACACACACACACATGTCTTTTTTCCCCCTCAACCATTTAAAATTTAGTTGCAGACATAAGTCCCTTTATTTCCTAAAAGGCATGGACATTCTCTTGTGTGACCACAGTACAGTTATTAAACTCAGGAGATTTTGCATGGATATAGTACAGTAATCTAATCTAGTCCAATTGATTTTTGCCAGGTGGAGATGTGGGCCCAGCGTCACCAAATCTTCCAAATTTTCAAGAAAAGCCGGAAATCTGGATATTTAAAGGGAACTTTCTAATTTTTAAAAGCTAATGACTAGGTTTTTTTAAATTAAAATATCATATGAAGATAATTTGTTTCAATGTTATAATAGCAAAAGATGTTTTTAAAAAGTAATGTTCATCAATAGGAGATTGGTTAAATGAATTACTGTACACTTATACAATGGAGTACTATGCAGCCAAGTAAAAGAATAAGGACATTCTTCATGAACCTCTACGAGGAGCTCTGGTGGTGCAATTTTTAAGGCATTTGGTTGCTAACCAAAAGGTCAGTGGTTTGAACCTACTAGCTGTTCTGCAGGAGAAAGATGAGGCAGCCCATTTCCATAAAGATTTATAGCCTTGGAAACCCTATGGGGCAGTTCTACTCTGTCTTATAGGGCTGCTATGAGTTGGAATCAACTTGATGTCATGGGTTTGGTCATGAACTTCTATAGAGAACCTCTGTAGTAAAAAAAAGTCTTTGTTTTATTGGTAAAAACAATTACAACAAAAATCAGAGCATAGAAAAATATGTATTACATTTTACCTTTCTTCAGTGGAAAATTTACTAAAAATAAATATGTATATGTTTTCTTGCATATACATAGACTCTCTGGAAGGACACATGAGGAACTAGTAAGCACTAGTTTCTTCAAGGAAGAGGATGCGGAGAGGGAAGTTCTTTTTTTTAATTTTTAAACCATACTAAAATCTTACCTATTCAAAATAAAGACAATCTAATTTAAAACAAGTTTAGGGTGATGACTTGTATCCAAAGATGATGGCTAGCCATTCATCCCCTTTCTGTACATACATGCCAGCTCTCCCATCAAGAGGGAGAATTTATTTCCCCTTCTCTTGAAACTGACTTGGCCTTGTGACTTCCTTTGGCCAATAGAATGTGGTGGAAACAACAATGTACCAGCCCTAGCACAAGCCCTTGAGAGGCCTGGTGGCTTTTGCATCTGCTCTTTTGGAGTCCAGAGTCTCCATGTAAGGAAGTCCAGGCTATCCTGCTGGAGAGATCATGAGGAGAACTGAGACACTCCAACCAACAGCCAGCACCATCGCCTCATACACGTGAGTCCTTCCTAGACCTTCCAGCCCAGCTAAGCCCAGATGAACGCTGCCACAGGACCAGTAGAATTCTCCAGAGGACCCAGAGCATCAGGAGAAATCATAAACCATGGTTGTTTAAGTCCCTAAGTTTTGGGGAGGTTTGTTATGCAGCAAAAGTAAACTACACCTCCTCCTCACTTACTACCTATCTTGTTATTCGACATTTCACATTTACAGCAATAGTGAAGAACCTACTATCTAGATACACTCCGTGGAGAGAACAATCATGGGAGAATAGAAGGGCTGTGTATGCACAGGGAGACAGCTCAGGGAGCAGGAGTGCATGGGAGGGATGGACATAGGGAAGAGGTAACTATGGGGAGGAAGTGGGAAGTGGGAGGGGAGCTGTTGCATTGTGGGAAACTGCAGTTAATGTCATGAGACAAAGTGTATGAGAGCTGCTGTATGGAAAGTTAATTTGTTCTGTAAACTTTCACCCAAATCACAATTAAATAAAAAGGAGAAGAATCTACTATCTGACTATTTTGCTCATTAACGATGTACATTGGCAGTAACAAATGTGGAGGTACAAGGTAAGAGTAATGCTGGCTGTGATGGTTAAGGCCATGTGTCAAGTTGTCTAGACCATGATGCTCAGTGGTTTGGCAGTTATAGAATGACATCATCATTTTCATTTTGTGACCTGATGTGGTTATCCTCCATTTTCCCATAACACTGACTTTTGCATAATGACCTGGTCTTTGTAACCTAACCATGTCACTAAATGAAGAGTGAGTGTAATACATTTAGCAAATAAATAAGAGTATCCAGGCCACTACCTTATTATATTTCTCTGTGGATTCAGTAAGTTAATATCATACAGCCAGGGCCTGACACATAGTAAGTGCTCAGTAAGTGTTTGCTGAGGTTATGATGACTTCTTCATCAATTGACCTGAATGATGCTGGTGGTTGAAGGGTAGGGTCTCCTGGGTCTTAGGGAGTTTCTCCTTGGGTTTGCCTGCACCTTGGGACCCTCCCTTGTCCCCACCTCTGGGTGTTTACCTTCCAGTAGTGACAGCAGCATCACCACCATGTCCTTCTGTAGATCCAGTAGCTCCTTCAACAGTTCAATTTGGCTTGAGTCCTAGAGACCCCACACCCGACTTATTTGTAAGGGTTGGTCTCTGCAGAGAGGCCTCCCCAACCCCAGCTGCTCCTGCCCCTCTTCACCCACCCAGCAGGGCCTGAGAACCCCTCTTTCCCCCCTCTTACCTCCGAGGGGACCCGAGTCCAGACATGTTCCTCGGAAGCAGAGGAGGGGGTAAAGAGACAAGATTGGGGGCTGGGTTGCCACTTCAGGGGAAGCAGGCCTAATGGTGATGTGTGGTGGCAAAGGGTGGGCAGACAAGGAGGACTGGGAAGGGTATGGGGCTTGTGGAGCAGACACTTGAGGCAGACAGAAACAGAGACAGGGAGAGACAAACCTTGGGAATGGAGACAATATGTATCACATTTTACCACCTTCAGCCCAGGTTTGATGTATGTTTGTTCAATGAATGTGTGGTGGAAAAAGTAGGACTCTGGGTTCAGAAGGAAGGCTGGACAAGTCATGCGCTTTCTGGTAAGGCAGTTGCGGGTGATGTGGGGGCCCATTGCCTCTCCTGCCACAGTGTCCCATGTAGGATCCTCAGAAGCCTTCAACACAAGCAAAGTTCTTCCCCATGGTCTGCTACTTATTGTATTAGATTGAGCCACTTAAAAATGCCAATATTCAGCCATTTTTGACTGACAACATGGTAATGTCATATGGTTTCACCTAATAAGATGGGGGTGGGGCAATACCAGGTAAAGGGGGATAAGGTTCCTTTTCACCCCAGTGCTGGTTCTACAAGTTCCTGGTTCTAATCCTAACACACTTAAGTTCCAAAGCTCTGCACTCTAAGACTCCAACATTCCAACATCTCAAGGTCCTCAGATGGTGGGTGCCTGTGGTTTGTCCCTGCCCATGATCCAGTTCCCTTATTCTCTGAGCAATCCCTCAATTTTCAAATGGGGCACCCCAATGCCACTCTTAGAGAAATAAGGCTCACCCCAGCTTCCTGGCTCTAGCGATGGGTATGACCAAGTCTGGACAATCAGAGTTCTCCTCTCCCTGGCCAGTGTTCAGTGTGAGCCACTGAGTCCAGTGAGAGAGAACTGCAGGCCCTGTGCTCCCGCTCGCAGGAGAGACAGCTCTTCATCCCTCTGGTGCTAAGGTGGCGGGTCAAAGTCTAGGGGGTGCATGATGTGGGGAAAACCATTTTCCCAGCACCAGTGAGTGCCTGTATGAGAAGAAGCCAATGCACACACAGGCCAGAGATGGAGAGAGATATTTCTGCAAACTTCACATCTGTGAAAGCAGTTCTGGTAGCTGTGGTTAAGGCACTGGGCTGCTAACCAAAAGGTTGGAGGTTCAAACCCACCAGCCACTCAGCGGGAGAAAGATGAGGATTTACAGCCTTGAAAATCCTAGGGGAGTCGCTATGATTCAGAACCGATTCAGTGGTAGTGGGTAGTGGGTCACGTGTCTGATGTGAGTTGAAAAATCCCTCATTTCCACTTCAAGCCACCACTCTGCACTGAGCTTCTGGTCTTTGCAACCTAGATTTAGACCATGGTTGATTGATTACTACCACGGCATTTGGAAGTCGACCCAATACCAACCTTTTCTAGAATTTTAAGAGAGGAACTGCATTCTAAGTTCTACCTCTTTCATAAAATTAGATGACACTAGACAGGGTTTCTGCCAGACCCTGTGATACTTTTGGGCAAATTAGAAAAAGATTACTTTTCGTTAAAATAACTTCGCTATGAAATTTTAAGATACAGAATACTTTACTGCCATCTGCTGGAAACTGCGTATTTATGACGTGGATGAGAAGCCCTAGTAGCACAAAGGTTAAGGTTAGCGGTAGGGACCCACTCAGCGGCTCTGTCGAGAAAGACCGGCAAAACCCTATGGGGCAGCTCTATTCCGTCACATCGGGTCGCTATGAGTCGAAAATCAACTTCACGGAATTTAACAGCAAGAAAGGAAGTGGACGGTGTCCCCTCTGATGTGGTGCCCTTGTACAGTGTACAGCCTGTCCAACTGCATATGGTGGCTTTGAATACATTTACCAATTTGAGTAGACAGACGTAGAGCGAACGGATGAGGTGTGTGTGACACACGGACAAGTGGGGTGGGCGTAGAGTGGAGGGGAGCACAAAGATTCTAAAGATAGGGGATGGTGCTCGACAGGGACCTTACATCATGGATGCCTGGGATAGGTGTCATCTGCCGCAGGCAGGACAAAGAAGTAAAACACTCCTTTAGCCCTAAGACCTCATCTATGAACCATGCCATTCCCCGGGACTGTCTGAATATAAAAGGACGCCACCAGAAAGGCACACTAGCCAATCATAGAGGAGATCAGGAATAGATGGGGCGGGGCCCACCTGTTAGACCAATGGAAGTGTGGACGGGAAACAAGGGGATTGGTGGTGGCAGAGGAAGGGGGTGGGGCTCATGCCAGAGAGCCAATCCAGAGGGAACATGTATTTGGCCACGGGATGAAACCTATCTGGAACGTGCCAGGAGCACTTGGGTGAGAAACTGACCAATCGGGCAAGACTTTTAATCGGCCCAATTAGGGGACGCCCAGAAGCCGGTGACATAGGGCCCCGAACCTGAGCGAGCTTCATCATCATGTGGGCAAATACGTGCAGGAATCCCACCACGGCGTCCCAGAGGCGGCTGTGCGCCAGGCTTTGCTGGTTCCCTGTGCAGGGACCCTAGGGGGAACAGAAGGCTGTTGGAGCCAGGCAGGGCACAGGACTTGGGACTGCCCCACCTCGCCCCAGCGAGACGTGCCTACCTGGATGTACTCGGTGAGGCTGTTGAACACCTGTTTAGCCACTGACATGGCCTTGGAAAAGTTCCTCTTGCCTTGCTCCTCAATGACATCTTTGCCTGAGTAGTACCAGTAGAAGTCGCTGATGGACTCCTGGAGGGCGTGCAGGATGTGAAGGGATGCTGGGGCCAGCCATGGCCGTAAAGCCCCCACTCACGTGCATTCACAACTCCCCCACTCGGGCACATTCACACCTGGACGGCCCCACATCCACACCTGCAGCCGCAAGAGATAGTCCACTGTGCAGATGATGATGTTAATAGTGGTCGTGTTCCCGGTCTGTGTCCGCAGGTAGTTTTGGAAATCTAGGGAAATGGAAAGTCATTCATTCACTGAGGATCTCCCGTGAGCTAAGGGAAAAGGGCAGAGGGCTATTCATTGTATACAGTATTTACTGCATGCCTACTGTATGCCAAAAGGCATATAAACATCCATGTACTTAATAACCATCATATATGTACTATGTGGCAGCTCTGGTGGCATAGTGCCTAAGGCATTTGACTGTTAACCAGAAGGCTGGCAGTTCAAACCCATCAGCCACTTCTTGGAAGACTAGGCAATCTATTTCCATAGACATACTGCCTTGGAAACCCAAGGAGGGGTCACTATGGGTCAGAATCAACTCGATGGCAATGAGTTCAGTTTTTTTTGGTTTATGTACTATGTGTCAGAGGAAGATGGAGGGCCATTTATTCATTTATCTCATAAATACATATTGAGGGCCTACTAAGTGCCAGATGTGGCGGAGAGCTAGACATTTATTCATTTCTTCCCCTCCAACAGATATTTATTGAGCAACTATTAGAACAAGGGGGAGATAAAGACCAGACAATTATTCGTTCATTTATCTGACAATATTTACTGAGTACGAACTACATGCCAGCAGGAGTTGGATATTGCTCACTTATTCTTTGATCAAACAAATATATGGAACACTTAAAATGTGCCAGATCTGGTGGTGCAGTGGATAAGGCATTGGGCTGCTAACCAGAAGGTCAGTAGTTCAAATCCACCAGCTGCTCCGAGGAAGGACGATGAGGCAGCCTACCTTCGTAAAGATTTATAGCATTGGAAACCCAATGGGGGTCACAATGAGTTGGAATCAACTCGATGGCAGCAGGTTTTGTTTGTTTGTTAATATGTGACAGGCACTCTTCTAGGCCCTGGGGGTTAGCAGTAAAAGAAAGCTAAGTTCCTGCCCTCATGAAGCTTATGTTCTGGTGCGATAATTTCTAATGCTACATTGAAACTCAGCACACATATTTAACCTGAAATATATCTACTTATGCCTAAAACAAAAGCTTCATGGACCCTTTTTACACAATATGCATTCTGGTACTTTCTGTGATGTACAGTCCAGTTCCTTCCAAAGGTATTTTGATCACAAACCCCAAAATTAGTGATTCTCAACTTTTCAACCTTGCCTGCATGTTGTAATCATCTGGGGGCTTTTAAAAATCCCAATCCCACTTCAGACCAAATCAATTAAAATCTTTGGCGGGGATGACATCTGGGCTTTCAAAGTCTTTTAAAGCTAGGGGAGCCAATGTGCAGTTAGGATGAGAACCACTAAGGTAAACTAATTTCGTGATCCTCTTTTGAAAAACACTCTTCTATGGCACAAAGGGGAGCTCTGATGACGTAGTGCCTAAGGCATGTGACTGCTAACCAGAAGGCTGGTGGTTCAAACCCACCAGCCATTCCTCGGAAGGAAGGTTGGGTGATCTACTTCCATAGAGATAGTGCCTCAGAAATCCAAGGAGGGGTCTCTATGAGTTGGATCTGACTCGATGGCAGTGAGTTTGGTTTGGTTTATGGCACAAAGCCAGTAACTGCTGAAGCTGATTGTTGGGAACTTTGGGGTTTACTGGGCCATTCCTTCTACTTTCATTTATGGTTGAGAAATTCCAGAATACTAATCAAAAAAGATAAATGCTGTTCATGGGTAGCGGGGGGTGGGGTGGGGGGGTGGTAGGCTATACTGGACAGAATGATCAGGGTTGTGATGAGGGTACTCCAAAGAAGATGCCTGCCCCTGCCTGGGTAGTCAGAGAAGGCTCTCTGGAGGAGGGGACCTCGGAGCTGAGAGCTGACTAGGAGTTGGTTGCACCATTTCCCAACTTGTGTGATCTCAGGCAAGTAATTGAACCTCTCTGTGTGGGGCACAGGAGCTCTGGTAGTGCCTAAGGCACTTGACTGCTAACCAGAAGGCTGGCGGCACTCCTTGGAAGGAAAGTTGGGCAATCTATTTCCATAGTGATACCGCCTCGGCAACCCAAGGAGGGGTCGTTATGAGTCGGATCCAACTCAATGGCAGTGGGTTTGGTGTGGGGCACAGACCGTGCCTCGGTTTCCCCTATGACACACAAGGATCACGGTAGACCCTGCCTCATGGAGCTGTTGGGAGGATTTAAAGCTTTAGGATGTGTAAACACTTCAGGACAGCACCTGGTACAGAAGTGCTCAATAAGCATTAGAGGTTTCCCTATAAAGCTATAGTTGGAGCAGTGGTTCTCAAAGTGGGGTCCCCAGAGCAGCAGCATCTGCATTTCCCGGAAACTTGTTAGAAGTGCAAATTACTGGGCTCCACCCCAGAACTTCGAAATCAGAAATCCACTTAAGTCCTTCTAGCATTTATAGCAATATCGTGCTGCCCAGGATAGCCTTATCAGCCCTGAAGGGGTTTTTGAATCTTTACAGTGGCATAGTGGTTAAAGCATCTAGCTGCTAGCCAGAAGGTCGATGGTTCTGAACCCACCGACTGCTCCCTCGGAGAAAGACAAGGCAGTCTGCTGCCATAACAATTTACAGCCTCAGATCTCACTTATATAAAAAGACAAGAACAGCCAAATGTATAGAGACCAAAGTTACCTAGGAGTCCCTAAGGGTGGGAGGGAGGGATAGAGGGAGGTGACTGCGCATGGAGTACTGAGTCTTGGTGCACAGCAATAGAAAAATCACTGACTAGAGACAGTGTTGCACAGCCCGTTAATGTAATTAGTTGCTGTCAATAAGTTGTTCACTTATAGAAAGTTGAATTGGAAAAAAGAAAACTTTACAGCTTCAGAAACCCTCCGGGGCAGTTTTACCCTGTCCTAAAGGTCGCTATGAGTCAATTGTTATTAATAGGAACTCTGGTGACGATGTGCTTAAGGCACTGTGCTGCTAACCAAAAGGTTGGTGGTTCAAACCCACCAGCTGCTCTGCCGGAGAAAGATGAGGCAGTCTGCTTCTGTAAACATTTGCAGCCTTAGAAACCCTATGGGGGCCGCTATGAGACTGAAACTACTTGATAGCAGTGAGTTTTTGTTTGTTTGTTTTGTTTTTGAAAGGGCTTTTTGGTCGGTTTTTGTTTTTTCCCAGAGTTTCCCTTCCCATCGACTTCCCTATAGCCACTTCACAATTGTAGTATCAGGCTGACTCACCCGATTGCCTCCACTGCCTGGTTCACATCACAGGGGAAGATACATAGGATCAGCAGTTGCTCAAGGTTTTATATGCAAATGTCCAGGCTTTCCCACCAAGCCAGTTTTCTGCTCTTAATTTCTGTTGATTTAAATTGGGCAGTATACCCAAATACAGAGCTCTGATGGAGCAGTGGTTCAGGCAGGCAGCTGTCTGAACACTTGCAGAAACTTGCAGACCCCAGGAAATCCAATCATCATATACTCCAAAGACTGATTCCACCTTAATTAAAAGGCAAAAAAAACAAACAACCAAACAAACAAACAAAAAACCCAACTCTATTCACAGGCACAAAGATATTTAATAAACCTTAAAAGAAAAACTGGTTGCGGACACAAGAGCTTCTGAGGCTGCAAAGCAATGGATCCTGCTTTAGCCATTTTTTAGTAGAAACGGGTGAAGACTAGAGATAAAGTAACTGTAAATCAGTTACTTTAAAGAGCATGAGCCAAGTCGGGGCGAGTCTGTGGAAGTCTGATTCTTGTCACGAAGGTGAGCTTCTGGGTACCGTGCGGTTTTCTAACCACCTGCTAAGGGTTACAGCCACAGCGTGAGAGTGTGCATGTTTGTAACAGGAAATGGTATTTGTCAGAATGTGTCTTGTGCAGAATTTGGACTGCTCCTTTCATGTTTTAAGCCATGTTTACCACAGGAGGTTATATTTTCCTCACCAATTGTGTGTTTAATTAACTTGCTGTGTCATCCTTCAGCTTGTTAAACTGGTTGAACCTGTGTGAACCCCCAAAATGGAGGTGCTGGACCTTAGTAAAATGGCTGGCCTGGATCTGAGTCCAGACACTAAAAAGCCTGTAACTAAGAAATAGTTTCTCTCTGTCATTAAGCCAAGGATAAGGGTCCTGATGCCATTAAGCTTATCAGACCCAGAATCTGCTGTTCTCAGGAAATATATAAGGCACTTGACTGCTAATCAGAAGGCTGGCAGTTCAAACCTACCAGCTACTCCTTGGAAGGAATATGGGGCAATCTACTTCAATTGTGATACTGCCTCAGAAACCCAAGGAGGGGTCGCTATAGCTTGGAACCAACTTACCAGCAGTGAGGTTTTTTTTTTCTTTTGCCAACTGTCCTTGGGGCTCTGGTGGTGAAGTGCCTAAGGCATTTGACTGCTAACCAGAAGGCTGGCGGTTCAAACCCACCAGCCACTCCTCGGAAGGAAGGTTAGGCAATCTACTTCTGTAGTGATACCGCCTCAGAAACCCAAGGAGGGGTCGCTATGAGTTGGATCCGGCTTGATGGCAGTAAGTTTGGTTTGGTGTTTTTGAGTCTTTGGGGAAGAATGCTTTATAGTTATCTTGTAACCACCCTGTACACCCCTACAGCCACATACTTCTGCAGTTATTCTATATAACCAACCTGATGACCAGCGTATGTACTCCCGACCAATCTCCTTTAGTTCCCTGCCTAGAGATATCCCACCTCTGACTACCTCATCTCACAAAGCCCCAATCACAGATTGTGCACTGTTAGCTCCTAACTCTATCATATAAATACAGCCTTTCCCCCCACTTCAGAGACCATCTGGTTTCACTCTGTGAGGCGAGACGTTTCCCTAGTCCAGGCTGCTTCCGAACCTTCAATAAATCTCTTTGCTTTTACGTCCAACAGAGTGTGCATTCATTACTGTTTGAAAAACCAGAACAAAAATGTGAAAATGCTTGCTTAAGTGAGGAAAGAATCTCTGAGGAAAGGCCTTCCTCTTGGCAAAGTGTTTTACAAGCAACATAAATGCACAGGCGGATAGACCACAGTCTCAGGGGACATGAAGGTCAACTGTCATAATACAGTCTGCAAAACAACATTCTACATCCTACTTTGGTGAGTAGCATCTGGAGTCTTAAAAGCTTGTGGCGGCCAGCTAAGATGCAACTATTGGTCTTTCTCTGGTGGGAGCAAAGAAGAATGAAGATAATCAAAGATGCAAGGGAACAGTTACTCCAAAGGACTAATGAATGGATCGTGTGAACCCCAGAAAAACTAGATGATACCCAACTACCATTTCTGACTGCTCTGAAATAGATCACAATAGGAGGTCCCAGGGATACAGTGGGAGAAAAAAGTGGAACAAAACTCAAAAGCATAATCAACCATACAAGATCAAAAGGGCAACATCTGCCCAGGGATAACGCTCAGGAGGCAGGAAGGGACAGGAAAGGATGGAGGGAAATGGCGAACCCAGGGAGGAAGTGAGAAGACAGCTGTTACACCATGGGGGTGGCAATCAGTGTCCAAAACAAGACGTTTATCAATTGTGGAACGGAAAATCAGTTTGCTCTGTAAACTTTCACCCCAATCACACACACACACACAAATCTCTGGGGAAAAACAAAACCAAACCATGTAACTTTTCTACAGATCCAAAGCACGGACACGCTCCACAGAAACCGAACTTTGGCAGCCGCGGCAAATACAATTGAGTTTTGGCAAACTGGTCAGGTGGCAAATTGGGTTTTGGCAGATTGATTTTGGGGAATAGGACTGGCTTGAATGAGAACTAATCCAAACCAAATCCGCTGCTGTAGAGTACTTTCTGACTCATAGCAACACTATACAACAAAGTAGAACTGTCCCCACAGGGTTTCCAAGCCTGTCATCTTTACAGAAGCAGACCGCCACACATTTCTCAGCTGAGTGCTTGCCCACTGTGCCACCAGGGCTCCTCTGAAGGAGGACAGTGAAAGTGAAACAAGAAATTTGAGAGGTTTGGGAAGGAGGCTGGGCATGGTTTGCCGGCCTGAGGAGGGTGAAGGAGGACGAGGTGGGTGTGAGGCCATCAGTGTTAAGGACAGGGAGGGACTAGAGAGGAACTCAAGCATTCCTTCCAGACCCACTCCAAACTCAGCGCTTCCCTGCCCCTCACCATTGTTGTGGCCCTCGCAGAGCAACTGCAGGAACCGGAACAGGTCCTGGGTGAATTCATCATCTGCCATGACCTTCTCTCCTAGGAGGTGGAGGGAGGCAGGGTCCAGGAAGGGTCAGATGGGCCAGGACACAGCACACGCATGCACATGACCCTTGCACACTGCACACGCATGCCCAAAAGCATGGGGGAGCTGGGAGGAGCAGCCACGCTTCAAAGACACTGTGAGCATCACGGGCATCCATGACACCAGGGGTCTCCACCTTGGAAACCATAACTTCATCAGAGGGAGACCTCAGGGACCCTGATTCATGATGCTGGGGCCTCAAGTGTCTTTCAACGACATCAGTGTCCCTCTGATGTCACCACTTGTGTGCCATCTAGGACTGTGCCCACCCGGCAGACCTTCTGGCAGCTGGTGCCTCCCTCAGCCACCCCACCCTCCCTCCAGGGCTGCGGTGGTTAATGGATTATGGGGTGGGGGGTCACTTTCACACAAATGCTTTGAGTGGGTGGCCAAGCTGGTTTGAGGGATAGACAGCCAGCTAATTGGCCCAGATGCCTTGAAGCAGCCAACTTGGGAGAAGCAAGGGTGGGTGGGTAGCATATCAACATGGGCCAATCAGAATAGGCATCTGGAAGAAGCCAATCAGGTGGGCCACAGGAGAGAGAGGGAAGGCTAGACAGTAAATGGGCCGACCAGAGCAGGCGCAGAGGCCCGCACACCAATCAGAGTGGATGCTGGAGGCACCCAATCCAGTTGGTGGATGGGAACCACGCCTTAACCGACCAATCTGGCATCTTGGCGCGCAGAGAGCAGGGGGCTGGGAGTACGGGTAACCCCACCCCGGGACTGTGAATCTGAGTGTGGAAGTCCGAGATCATCAGCTGGAAAAGGATCTTTTGAGATTTTCTCTAGCTTCTGTTTTACAGATGGGGAAACCGAGATTTACAGAAAATACTTTTTTATTGTCCTATCGGTTGTTAGTGGCTAATCTGGGGCCCGAATCTGGACTCCCTGAATTTAAGACTTTCCACCCGCATGGTGCACCCACTATCCGGCTTCCCCTCCCCGAGGCGGTGTCCCAGATCCTCAGCCCCCGGGTGGGCGATTGGGGATTAGAAGGGAAAGGCTGGCAGTAGCAAAGCAAAGGGATTGGGCTGGGGGAATTACCGTTCTGGCGACTGATGACTGAGGCAGCCGACGGGATGGGAGAAGGAAGCAGGAGAAAAAGAGAGAAAAACGACAGAAGGAGACAGAGACACCGAGACAGAAAAACACAAACAGAGACAAAGAAGTCAGAGAGAAACAACCCACAGAAAGGTCGATAAGGAGACAGAAGGAAGTGGATTAGCAAGGAAGAGAGAAGGGCATGAGGGTGAAAGCAGGGGAGAGTGGAGAGGGACCAGGAGAGAGGTGGACAGGTGGAGGTGGAAAGGGAGGAGGCCAGGACCAGGGTAGAAAGTTAGACATGTCACAACACGGCAAAGAGGAGACTCGATTAACCCGGATTAGGGACATTAATGAGAGAACAGCAACCAGGACGTGTGGGGGGTGGGGTCATGTGATGGATACACAGGCAGGAAGATCCCTGGGATGAGGGCCATGGGGAGGGGCACTCTGGAGGAATGGTGGAGGGGGCAGGGCTGGGGACCGCTGCAGGGGGTGCGGATAGGGACTCCTGGGGGAAGGGCGCTCTGGGCAGGGTGGGTGGGTGCAGTTCCTGAAGGAAGAGGACGCCCCAGAGAGGGAAGCCCAAGAGAGGGCCTCACCAGTTCCATCCTCCTTTACCATGCCCAGGCCCTCTGCCTTGTTCTGTCTCTCGAAGGCATTGAGATCCAGGACGCTGAAGGGAAAGAAGGAAAGATGGGGACGGTGTGATGAGGCCTCTGCCCTCTTCTCCTTCGGAGCCTGGCAGCCCCCCCCCCCATCCCAGTGGAGGCTGGGGACCCACAGTAAACCATGTATCAGCTGGAATCAAGAGGCAGCAAGAGTCAACCTGGGAGAATGAACGAGGTAGAGGCTATGAAGTGAGGTGGAGCCAAGAGAAACCAAGTACAAGTGCAATAATGAGGGAGCAGGAACCATCAAGTATCCAGAGCCACCGAGGGGCAGGGGGCAATGGTGGTGCAGTGGTAAAATTCTCGCCTTCCACGCGGGAGACTCAGGTTCGATTCCTGGCCAATGCCCCTCGTGTGTGGCCATCACTCATGTGTCAGTGGAGGCTGAGTGTTGCTACGATGCTGAACAGGGCCCACTGGAGCTTCCAGACTAAGACGGACTAAAGAAAGGCCTAGTGATCTGTGTCCAAAAACCAGCCAATGAAAACTCGATGGATCACAATGGTCCAATCGCTTTGTTCCATGTTCCATGGCCAACTTGATGACAGCTAACACCACCAAGAGGCAGAGAAAGTCAGTTGGCAACAAAAGGAAAGCCAAAGTAGAGCCAAATTAACAGGGGTCATCAGAGAGAACCCACATCCCCTACTGCTGAATTCCCCTTGAGTTTTCAACAACCTTGCAGGTCCAGCCACCTGGAATCATAACATGACCCTCATTCTTAAAATTCTGTGATATTCTGCCTTCCTTACCGTCTATGTGAATTCTTACAATTAAGCTCCTGCTATTTGGGCTACTCCGGTGGGTCTCTTTCCTTGAACCAAGACTGCAAAACTGGTGCCAGGAGTAGAGGGCACACTCGGCCACGCAGACTTTAGACGGGCCACACTGGAACCTACCTGCATGTCTGCATCAGCGCCTGGATACTCTGGAAGAAGCCAACTTCCTTCTTGTCCTTCAGATAATCCAGCATTTTCTGCAGAGAAGGTGGAGGGGACCGAGGCCTGGGAGTCACTAGGAACCTTCCACCCCTAACCCTGTCCCAAGGCCCTTCCTTTCTGTTACCTGCTGCACCTCCGCATTGCCTCCATTCAGGATGGAGATGCCCAGCTTCAGAGTGGAGGACACCATGGCGCCTGTCTCTCCTGCAGTGGATGGGGGTGGCAAGAGAGAGTCCCTTCATTTTGGGAGCAGTGGACCCCACCCACCAGAAACAGCCCTCCTGGGGGATGGAGAACAGGGATGGAAGAGTGTGCAAGGGAATGCCTGCAGGGGTAGCACTGATTGAAGGGTGAGAGAGAAACTGCAGGGCAAGTGTGCAGGGGCACATGCAAGGGCTAGGGTGTGAGTGGAAACCATGGCATGCAGGGGCAGGAAGTGTGCCCGCTGGGTCCACAGGCAATGCACTGGGGAGGGTGAGGGGAGGGTGGTTTGTGCCCAGGAGAGGCCAATGCGTGTGCCAGGGGCACCTTTGCAGGCGCTGATCATCTGCAGAACCATCTCGGCGGCCCCCCGGTTGTGCAGCCGCGCCTGCTGGTACAGTAGCCGCTGCTTCTCCATCTCCTTCTCCTGGGGCAGAGAGGTGCCCCATGGGCAGTGAGCCCGGCTCACCCATCCAGCCTTTCCCCTCCCAGGCTCGTCCCTCACCCCTGCTCTCCTGCACCCAGGCTCCACCGCAGGGACTGACTCATCCCTTGAACTGTGAGCTCCTTTTGTCCCCTGGGGCTAGAGTCCTCGGTTTGTCTCTGGCACCTAGTCCAGGGCCAGGCATGAAGTGAGCACTCCGTAAACTGGGGCCTCTTCACCCGGGCCCATACCCCCCACCCCACCCCAAGTGCCAGTGGATAGAATTCAGGTGGTCTGTCAACTTGGATGGAGAAAACAGTTCTATTTCTATGTTTACCACTCTCTAAATGATGTTTAGCATTTCCTTCTGTTATGAACAAGGCGATAAATCATAGCAATATTAGCAGAATCTGTGATCTTTGTCATCAGTAAGAATCACAGATGTTTGCATATCACAGTACTGTTATAAACAAACAAACAAACAAAACAAAAAACAAACTTACTGCCATTGAGTAAATTCCAACTCATAGCGACCCCCACTGGGTTTCTGAGGCTGTAAATCTTTACAGAAGTCTATTGTCCCACCTTCCTTCTGTGGACCAGCTGGTGGGTTTGAACCACTGACCTTCTGGTTAGCAGCCAAATGCCTTACCCACTACACCACCAGAGCTCCTGGACCCACTACTAGATCTGGTTATTTGATGGATTAATAAAGACGTACATATATAACTGTATCACTAATTTGTTGTTTTTTAAAAATATTTTGATAACCCTTCCAATAAGGCTTGTTTTTCTTGAATCTTAGAAATTTTATACATTTTAAAACAAAACATGATCCTGAGAGAGGCTTGACCAGATGCCAAAGGGCACGACGAAGGTTAAGAACCTCGGAAGCACGTGCTCGCTGGCTGCCTTAGTGAATGAGTGGACGGATCGACTGCATGTATATTAGCTGTCTCTCACTCCAAACCTTTGCATATGCTGTTCCCCCTGCCTGGAAGGCCTTTTTTCCTTTCTTCAGGGGTCACACCCCTTCCATCCTTCAGCTCAGATATCCCCTCCTATGAAAAGCTTTGGCACCCTCACCCCAGGCTGGGCCAGGCAGGCGCCTTGTCTGGGTACCTGTAACCTCTGTCCTTCTCCATCTGGTTCTGACCTCTCCGCCTGTGCCTCTCCCATCACCACCATGTACCTTCTGTGCTGTCTCTGTGTGGTAATGTTAGTGGACTGAAATGTCACTGCTGTGTCCCCCACGTTGCCCAACGCAGGCCCTGAACACTGCTCTGTGAACATGTGCTAAATGAATGGTGGATGACGCCAGTCAGGGTCCCCATCCCCTTCCTCCCGGGGGCTTCTGATCTCACCAACCTCAAAGGAAACCTCAACCTCTTCTTCGACTGGCACGCTCTCCTCTGTGTCCTCTAGGTGGCAGCTCTGGAAACAGGTATCAGTTAGGGATGATGGCGAACAAGGGAGCTCTCCAGTCCACCCCGTCCTTTCAGTGGGCTGGCGTTGGAGCTGAGAAGGGAAGCTGGCCTGGCTGGGGCGGGGCCTCACCTTTGCCATGATATCCGCATACGCGATATACAGGTAATCCTCATCCAGTTTGCTGAGGAGGCAAGCGGGGAGACAGTCAGGACCTGGTGGAGAGGCGCTTTCCTTTGCCCTGTCACCTCTCCTCACCCTCAGGGTGGTTCAGCTGGGTGGACCCCTGGCCCGATACCAGGGTGAGCACATGAGGAAGGCTTAGCCAATCAGCATTTTCTATCTGCTTGGCTACAGTAATAGGTAAGAGATGGTCAAGGGATTCACAGTGGGCCTCTGACCTCTGCTCTGGGAGTTTTGCTGGAGCTATTGGTAGAGGTTGTCTCTGTCTACTTGGTTGTTGGAATGATGTAATGGAATTCTAGAGCTTCCAGGGCAATCTTGCCTCCTTCTGGCTCACTCCACAGCTATGACCAACCACTCACCCTCTCCTTGGCTCTCCTCTGTAACAGTAATAAAAATGACTACCACCTAGTGAGTGGAATGTTTACCCTGTGTTAGTCCCTGTTCTGAGTGCTTTACATATACAAACAGATCAATCCTCATAATGACCCTATGCAAAAAAACAAATTCGCTGCCACTGAGTCAAGCCCAACTCATAGTGAGTTCCATTGGGTTTCCACGGCTATAAATCTTTATGGAAGCGGACTGCCCCATCTTTCTTCCATGGAGCAGCTGGTGGGTTTGAACCAGCAAACTTTTAGTTAGAAGACAAATGCCTTAACCACTGTATCACCAGAGCTTCTTATAACCCTATTAGGTAGGTATATTATCAGCCCCATTTTACAGATGAGGTAACTGAGGCACCAAGATTCCTCTTGGCCAAGGTCACACAGCTTATAATGGGAGAGCTGGGATTCAAACCTGGACTCATTCCAGAGTCTGTGCTGTCAACCACTACATTATATTCCTGCCTAGAGGGACAGAAAGCAAGACACTCAGCTTCCCAGTTTCCTTTGCAACTGTGCAGAAGTCCACTAGGGAGATCTTCCCCTCTCAGATAAAATGACTTTGGTCTTGCCTAAGGAAAAGGGGAAAAAAAAAAAAGCCTTTCCTGTCCTTCTGTCCGGTAGGTGGTCATGATGCCTCGAAGTACAGTGTTCATCTTGTCAATCATGATGACAGAAGCTAAGAATGGCAGAACAGAAAGCTAGAAAGAGCTTGTGTTCCTTCCACTGTCACTGTGCCACTGCACCAGCTCTGGACTGTCACCTCCTGACTGTACATTAAAAACCAAATGAAACCCACCACCCACAGAGTCGATTCCAACTCATAGCAACCCTCATTGGGCTTCCAAGGCTGTCAATCTTTACAGAAGTAGATTACCTCATCTTCCTCCTGAAGAGCAGCTGGTGGGTTAGAACCACTGGCCTTCTGGTTAGCAGCCATTTGTCTTACCCCAGTACTGTGCCACCACAGTGTGTGTGCCACTTCACCCACTGAAGCTCCTTGACTTCACATTACATGGGAAAAATAAATCCCTGTGCCTCAGTTTCCTCACCCACCGAAAGGAGTTAATAACAGTACCTATCTCATCATGTGAACACTGAGTGAATATGTACATGGTAAATGCTCAGCAAGGTGCCTAACACATAACGGCCACTCGAGAACTGTCTGTCATTACCATCCGCATCCTTATACTATTATTTATTCCCAAAACTGCCATTATTAGCTTTTTTGTGAATTACATAAAAGGGACCCCTTCCTCACTTCCATATGTTGGAAATGTGTCATAATGTACTGCTTTTGTTTGACCATGACACTTCCTGTCAGAACATCCCAGCAGACCTACACATGATGGTGTGGACCCCTCAGATGACACGCCCCTGTGAATTGCTCAGCCTGCACAATGTACATGGTCGTCCTGCCAGTCCCAGTAAAGTGACTGAAAGATCAGCTGGAGGACTTCCCCAGGACACAGAGGGCCCCTCCCCAGGCACAGGGAGGCTGCCAGGGACAACTCTGAGGCCCAGGGAAGGGTCTTCACCTCTTTTCAGTCAGGGCCGTGCGGCTGAAGTGCAGGACCAGCTGGTGGAGGGGGTCTGGCTTCTTCTCTTCCTGCTCTTCCTCCTCTTCCTCTTGCTCTCCAGCTTTCTGGGGGGAAGTATGGAGCTTGTGGGAGGGGTTTCTGGAGTCCCCTCCTGTCTGCCCCCTACTGGGCTGGATTCTTCTCTCTTCTCCCCACCGCCCCCTCCCCTGGCTAAGCCCAAGCTAGAGCTATACTCCCGGGGCTGCCATTTCCATAGACCTCAGTGTGAAGGGCGATGCCTGGAGGTGCCCAACTGGTGGCCTGGGTGGGGTGCCCAGCCATATCCAGACCACCCACACCCCCAGGCAGGCCCCAACTCACTGAAAGGTCATCTATCATGCGGTCCTCAAAGCTGTGGTCTTCAGTCAAGATCCAGCCAGCCTTGTAACTCTCCAGAAACATGTTACATGCCCGGTGCCTGTAGGGGAAAGGTCTGGGGCGTCATGGAGACCTCCTACCCTGCCAGGCCTCCTCTGGCCAAGCTCCCGATCGACCCCATTCCCCAAGACCAGCGTGTTGGTATTCCATCCTTCCGCCTCCACGCCACTGTCTGTCATTCTGTTAGCTTCCCTCCTCCCCGGGAACCTTACGTGGGCAGGTTGTACAGAGGGGTCATGCGGAAACAGGCCACGACCGCCCGCCGGCGCTGCTTGGACAGAAGTTTGTGCCACACCGCCTTCTTGGACTTGTAAGGATGCTCTGTCTGAGGGGTGGGAGAGTCTGTCACCTCTCCGGACGCTGCTCTGATTCTCACTCCCATGCTCAGGCGAAAACTGCCCATCTCTGCCCAGATGCAAACTAAGGCCCCACTCACACAAACGAGCAGCCTGTCCCACTAGTCCAGATAACTTTCTGACCTAATCTCCGTCTCCAGACCAGAGTTTCCATCCTAGGCCCCGCCCACAGCCTCGAGGTGCACCGCTAGACCCCACCCCTGCCCTAAGGCCCTGCCCCAGACCCAATTTCATATTTGTCCTAGACTCCAGGCCCCATCCACAAACACAAGTCCCACCCCTCCCACCTGGGCCACAGACAGAAGGATCATTTCCCCCTCCCTCACCACTGCCGGTCCCCAGATTCAAGTTGTGCCCCCCCATGCCCCGCCCAGAAATGCAAGCTTCGGCCACTCAGCATTAACTATCCTCTAGCCCCACCCACCTGCTCCAAATGGTAGAGCACGGCGGACACTTCTTGGACTCTGCGCACGATTTTCTCAGGATCATCGGCGTCCTCCTCGCGTCCTGGGAGACCCCGGTACAGCGCCATCTGCCAGCGCAGAGACGGGGAGCCTTCGACCTGAGAGAAGGAAGGACAGCCCGGGGTGAGGCAGCTTTCCAGCGCGCCTCTTCCCTCAGCCTGGGCTCCCACCCCACTATGGTGGTTTGTTTATCCTGCTGCCCCGCCCCCTTTCTGTATCATGGAGTTAACAGGGCGAGCGCAAGTTAAGTTCTTTCGTTGGCGGTCCGGTACATAGTTAAATGCTGAAACAGTGGCTCTTACTGTCATTATTAGAAATGCCCCTTTCGGTTGCGGACTGGGGAAGCATACCTTTCCCTGAAGGTGAAGGTTGTTTTGCAGGAACTCGCGGACCTCCTCATCTGTGTCTTTCTGGGGAGACATGGCCAGGCTGGGTCATTGTGGAGGGCCCAGCATCCGCCTTGACCCACAGCCCTTTGCTTCTAGGCCCACCACCCCAAGACCTGGAGGAAGTTTGTGAGGGGGATCTGGGAACAACTGAAGGGCTCCGAAAGTCAAGAGTGGTCAGAGGGGCGTCCTGGAGGGGACCAGTGTGGGCCACGGAGGCACTCAGAAGACAGTGAGGATCTGAGGGACCAAAGGTCAAATGAGGCCAGAGAGGGATTATCACGGCCAGAGAAGGATCAGAGTGGGTCTGGGAAGACATGAAGATGTGCAGGGAGTTTTTGAAGAGCAAAGGGCATTGGCAAGGTCAGCAGAGGTCACTGGGAGATCCAGGAGGTCAACCAAGTAACTAGTGAGGGTTGCACTGGGGCCAAAGGAGGGGTGACCAGGGTGAGAGTTCCTTAGCCTCTCAGGAGTGGAGGGTCCTCCAGTACCAAGGTGAGAGGTCAGTGGAGCCTTGGAGGGCTCTTTGGGTCCTGGTGGGACCCAACCAGTCCTAGAAGGAGCTTGAGGTGCTGGGAAATGGGATCCTTGTGATACCAATGTTCGTGGTCTTTAGGGCCCCAGACGGCTTTAGCAGGTAGTCAGGGGGCTTGGTGGGATCCTGGAGGGAGGGCTCTAGGAGTCTTGGGGCAGGATCCTGGGAGGTCTCCTTAGGGTCCAGAGGCTGGAAAGGAGTGTGGGGGGCAGGTAGTTCCTGCAATCCAATACAAGGGGTAATTGGGGGTGCTGGGAGGCCTCCTTGGGATCCCAGAGGACTTAAGAGGGATCTAGAGGAGGGGTTGGCTGATCCCCAGGAGATATGAAAGATATTAAAGGTTTTGGCATAGTTATTAGGGTCACAGGGTGCTACTCAGAGCTGGGGGGGCTCAGCACAGTCAACAGTCAGCAAGGTCCTGAGGGAGTGAGGTGGTGAGCTGAGAGCTCCGTGGAGACCCAGAGGTCCCAAGGGTCCTGGGCAGGGCCACTGGGGTAATGAGGGGAGTGGATCCCAAAGGGCTTTTGGGGTCCTGGCAGAAGGCCTAGAAGAGTTTCAGGGGCTCAGTGGTATCTTAAGGTGGGGTCCTCAGGGACCCAGCAGGTTTTACATGGTCTCAAGGAGAGGGGAGTGTCAGCTGGAATCCTTAAGGCTCAGTGTGGTACTAGGGGTGGGGTCCTCAGTCCCAGGGGGTTCAGTGGGGTCCTACAGTGGTCAATAGGATCCCAGGGGTCTTAGTGGCATTCCTGGGGCCTCAGTGAAGTCCTAGTTAGGGTTCATGGGTTCCAGGGGCCCTGGCAGTGTCCTGAGTAGGGTCCTCAGTACCCGAGGGTACTCAGTGAGTCCTCATTGTTAGGGGGCAAGGACTCAGTAGGGCCCAAGGAGAAGGCTCCCAGGGTTCTGGGGTGCTCAGTGGGATCCTGGGGATTCAGTAGGGTCCCACGGCCCTAATGGGGCTGGCAGGCACCAGGGCATAGCGGGTCTTGGCCAGCATGATGAGGTCCTGGTCGGTGGGCGCACACATGTTCAGGCCAATGGGCAGCATCTTCTTAAGTGTGGCCACAATCAGTGACGTCTGTACTGAGTACCGATCCCCCCGGCGCTTCTTCTTGGTGCGTTCCTGGTCTGAGCCACCTGACTGTGGGGATACAGGCGTCAGTGCTGGCCTGGGTAGCAGCCTGGCCCCATGCCTCAGCTCCGCCCCATGCCCCAACCCGTAGCCATACTCTGATCCTCAGCCTGGATTCCAGGCACTCCCCTCACCTCAGAGCACATCTCATCTTCTACCCCATACCTGGCTGATCCTTCACCTAAGACCCCAAACCCTGACCCTAGATACTCCCAGGCCCAAGCCCCCATCCAAATTCCCAACTCCCATCCCGAGCCCCTCCAGATTCTCCCAAACTCTGGGGCTATCTCAACCTCTAGAAGCCCTCTCCCAGAAAACCCAAAGTACTCACAGTATGCTTCCCCCCCAGCCCCCATAACATGCACAATCCCACACTTCATATCCCAAGACTGACCCTCCCAGGAATGAAATAAAGATGCAGAACCACAAAGAGTCCCAAGAGACAAGAGATGTGGGAAGAAAAAGAGAGACGGACAAGAAGACAGAGACAGAAGATGCAAGAGAGATCCAGAAAGGTCTGGAGCAGCGACGTGGGGCAGAGTCCCACAGCTGTGTTCTGGAGCCTTGGTGCAGACCCATGGCTGGTGCCACCCCAGTCATGCTAGTGAGAAGCCCCAGTGACAAGCTTCGGCCAGAGCCACATCCACACCGGCTTGCAGATCGCGCATGGCCCATGTGCCAGGCACTGCTGAAGGCCACACATGCAGCATCTCAGAGTCCACGTGGGGCCCTGGGGCTCAGGGCCACAGTCAGATGCCGGCAGAGGCTCAAACGGATACAACAGTTGGCCAAGGTCACACAGCTAACTCCCAACAGAGCCAGAATTCCAATCCAAGTCTGTCTGATTCCAGAGAACAAGCCTCCACTGCCCGGCAAGAGTGCTGCCTCCCCGTCATGCATGTTCCTTCCCACCCCCATCCTCCTGGACTTCAGCCCACAATGCTTGATGCTTCGGCAAAGCTGAGAATTTTTTTTTTTAATTAAGTTAAAAAAAAAAAAAGATCAAAATTTCAGATGCTGAGGGCTGAGAGGGGGATGGATGGTGAGGGGAAGGATGGAGACAGATGGGGTATGAGGGCCAAGGACAATGGGTGGGGAACAGAGGGAGAGGTGTTCTGGAGGGGGGGCTGGGGCTGGTGAGGCGGGTAGGGGGTTGTGAGCCAAGAGCCATGCGGAAGGTTCCAGACGCGGGGCTGACCTGTACATCTCCTGCCTGCTTCACCGGGTTGCAAACAGAGACAAGAAGGGTTACCCCAGCCCCTCAGAGAACCCCAGGCCCAATTCCAAGTTGGCTGCACCCAACTCCTCTGCCCGCCCCAGCTGTGCATCCCCCAGGTGGGCATTTCCAGAAGAGGGGAGTTCTGAGAAGGATGGGGGTTGGGAAGAGGCAAGGGCTGGGGGAAGAGGAATAATGGGGAGGTGAGGAAAGTGGGAGATGGGATGGGAGGAGAAAGGTG